GCATGGATTAAGAACTTCTTTGATACTATCAATCAGAGCCACGAACGAAATATGTACTTAAATATACAACTTCATACATTGATATGCTTTTTATAGAGGACCATCTAAGTGGACAGTCCTTTATCTTAGGTGTTCTAATGGGTATCTTTAACTGTGTGTGTGTGTTTTTAATTTTCATGTGTCAAGTTGTTATTATCATAATTTATAATAAAACTTAAAACACTGGAGTAAAAAGAATAATCAAACTCAAAGGTTTTGGACGTTTAAAATTGTGTTTCTTTTAGTTTTGAAAAGTAGTTTAGAAAGTGACCTAAATGACTTAGGATATTATAAACATGTACAAACAAATGTTTGAGTTAAATTCAGGCAGTCAGTTTACTTACAAAAGCTCTAAACTTGGTATAGTTAGTCGTTTGATTTTATGGCATGAAATTACATGTCGAAGTGATCGGCGAATTTAAATAATCATAAAATTAAAAACATTCTTCGGTTTTGCACCTTTGTGATTGCAACGCAAATCATAAATGTCAATGGATATGTTCATGGTTAAAAGCAACTTCACGCAGTCGATGAGACGACACGTGTAATTATTACAATTTTTTAATTCATTCTTAACAACTGAAATATTATCTGTGATCTATTTATCAATTTTATGTAGCGCGTACTACTCGTCATGACGTACGGAGCCGAAACGTGGACACTTACGGTACGGCTGGTCCACAAAATCAAAGTCGCTCAACGTGTTATGGAAAGGGCTATGTTCGGCGTTTGTCTCAGGGATCATCAGGAGTAAGGTGATCCGGCAGAGAACCAAGGTCGCCGACATAGCCCACCGGATTAGCAAGCTGAAGTGGCAGTGGGCTGGCCATATTAGCCGCAGAACCGACAACCGTTGGGGAAAACGAGTTATTGAGTGGACACGGCGTCTCGGCGAACGTAGTGTAGGACGCCCAAAGGCCAGGTGGAGTGACGATTTGCGCAAGATGGCTGTCAGGAGCTGGATGCGAGAAGCCCAAAATCGATCTAAGTGGCGTGCAATGGGAGAGGTTAATGTCCAGTAGCGGACTGCGATAGGCTGATGATGATGATGATGAAGTGTGTGCTATGCATAGGTAACTGGTGTATTTATTATAAGATAAAATCTTGGCTTGTTAATAAGTTGTATTTTCCGTATTCAGTGCTGTTAAATGTAGGGCAATAAACATTAATTGTTTATTACGCGCCGTTCTTACTCAGTATAAACCTACATTATCTGGGTTATTACGTTCAGTTACAGTATACCTACTAGAATTGTTACTTGCCAGCTTCTATACGGTATAGCAGAGTGCATTATTGAAAAAAAGACATGTAAATCTAAAGGATTTTTAAATCAAAATCTTTTCAATCCCAAGTGTGTAGTAGTGTATTCAGTCCAATATTTTGCCTCCCTTCCAAAAATAGGGTAGCGGAGGTTTTGGGCTTAGGTAAAACATTAGGCAGCAAGGTGCTTTTCTTTTTAAATGATCTGTCTGACACGGATAAAGGACTAGCTTCAGTGATGCGGAAAATATTAGTAATTTACGTGATTGGATACATAAATCAATATTATTGCAGCATCTACAAATCTCACAGAAGCACTCTGTGCTAAACAACCATTTATTATTTATGAATAATTACGAACACAATACAAGCTAATCAGTTTATTAGAAGTGACTCAAGTAGATAAACCACTGATAGAATCTGACTCTAGATTATATTTCAGTTATCGACTTGACAAAGTTAATGAACCCTGCAAGGCCAAAGCCTCCTCGAGATAACTCTATAAAACCTTTTAGTTTTATGGATTTCGATTCATTCCACAACAAAATAATTCGATATCGAATATCTTTACGACATTCGAGCGGAGAACGTGTGTTCACATTGTAATAATTTTAACATTTTATACAATTCAGCCGACGCATACCATGCCCTAGGCGTCTACGGAAATGATAATGTGCTGAGACACACCGTACTTGTGTGAATGTGATAAACAAAATGGGTAGTGGAAAGTTTGGTTTTCAAATCAAAAAAGACAAAGTTAACATGGGGGCTCCCAAAACTGAATTTAGTGTTAAGGAGAAGTGTCACAAAATACAGAAGAAACTCAAGAAGACTGAAATCAAGAAGACTGAAACAAATGGACGCGAAAAGACAATTTGGTGGAATCAATGTAACAGTTGTAAGTTGAATTGTTTATTTATATTCTTTCCCAGCAATTTATATATGCACAGAAATAATACAATAAAATTATGTGCATCATCCATAAATTAATAGAAAAAAGTGTAGATTGATTCTCATGGTCTGCTATTTTCTTGTGAATTATCGTTGTTCGCGTCGATCATAAAAAGTGCTAAAAGAACTAACTTTGAATGGAATAATAGAAATCAGATAATACCGGTTTGCTATAATGGAAGGCTAAGGGCCCCTCCAAGGGCCGTCATGTTCGTTACGCCCTTTGAATGCTCAATGAGGGGAAATTAGTTCATCAAGGTTCTAACTTTTGAAACCGTCGAGTAGCTTTAGCTGTACACGCGACAAGGTATCGAGGCCAGCAATGCGGCCTTAAACGTTGCCTTCAATTATTTGAGCCCTTCTAATGATTGAAAAGTCGATTACGACATTGAATTTTGCGATTGATATAACCCTGTCTTTAATTTGTTACTCTAAATCTCAATTTAACTCTCGTTCAAAGTTCAAACTAAAGTTCGTTTATATATGCAATGAAATGTGTGAAAATATTATTATGATATGTATATTATATAATTGCTACTAAGTACTTCAGTAAATATTAAATAAGTCAGTGTTACATGACTATCACGACACAATCTTATAAGAATTATTTTCCAAACTATTGTTGTAAATATTGACGTAAAAGTATGTCAGTGGAAAGCGCGAGAGAATCCCGAGAAATCTATGCGCTAATGTGATGTGTGCGCACGCGCTCCCCAGTTTCCACTTTCTAAACTGGCTAGACTGTGCACGGTTTAATAGTTCAGGAACTGCTAGTTGTTCGGTTGCATGAAAGTTGTTTTGTTGACATTTCCTTGTGCGAGGAGGATTGTAATGCCAGCGTATGTTAAAAAGTCACCTGAAGCAACCATCTATGTAAATAATTTTAACTTGTCTCTCTGTAATAATAGAAGGAAGTATTACAAAAAAAAAAATTATTCACTTATAAATGTATTTACATACGCTGGAGAGGACGTGAGGCTTTTAGGACCGGAGTCGCAGTGACGGACCCCAGCTTTTCATACATTATTCTGACTAATGGCTACTACTAGTGGTATATTAGCCCACACAAAAATTGAAGTTTCTGTCCACTAAAATTGATTTTAGAAAATAAAAAAAAGCTTTCTTTATAAAAAAAATAGCCTCAATATTCAACCATAAATTGTTGTGATACTTGTGTATTTTACTGTCAGGGAAAGATTTACCAGCTGCTTATACAATCCATGTAAATAATGGCAGTAGCTATTCTTTTAGTGATGTGATCTCGATACTCAATACGAGTACATTTTTGCCTGACAAAACATGTGCAAATTCAAATTCTTTTTTCTTCCATAATAGAGAGCGGGTATGTGGGTAAAAATATTAAATCTGTTTTACATTGCATTGTGGACATTATGTTACTTATATTGAGAATTACTTTTTTTAACACGCTTTTATTAGCTTCACCTGTATGTTTGTTTGTATGTAACCGACTCCTTTGGGCGTAATTTTGACTGACTTTAAACGGTCAGAATTCGTTTAAACTTTGAAGATATATCGAGGACTGATGACAATACACTAATATAAAAAAAATGAAAAAAAATATAGTTTAAAAAAAAAAATTATAGTTTAAAAAAACTAAAAAACACGCTTTTGCCTGTTGTCAATAGTAAAAAGCACCCAACGCTTTTTTTCAAATTTATTTTCTATTTTTTAGTTTGGTTTTCTATAGAAAGCGTGTTTTTTAGTTTTTTAAAACTATAATTATTTTTTTATAATTGTAGTTTAAGTTCAATACAAGCTTATGACTTTTGTTAAATTACATAAACTTTTAATTAAATGACTCTTTACTTTTAACAGTGGACCTTACTTCCGCTTTGACAGGAACTTTGGTTATTTCTTTTAAATAATAATTTAAATGTATTATAAGGTGGAAACAGGGAACGCGGCTAGGGTTCCTAGTACTATATGCTTCAGTAGAAGTCCGATTTTCTGCGTGGTGGCGAAAATGACAAGGACATGAAACGTTATCCAAAGTTCATACCACTTTTTTTAATTGTATTCAACTGCCTTTATATAATACCTTATACGGCTTGCGTGATTTATTAATCGTTGACTTGACAGATAGTTAATTATAACCATCTACCAGCTTTACATTTGGAACAGGTTAATTTGTTTAAGTGAATTGATTTCCAGTTATAATTCATCATTTATTCTATGAATTATTGCTGTAGTATTTTACAACACGTACCATATTTGTATTTTAAATAAAGTAAATCTTTAAAACAGTAGTTTGTTTTAATGATTTACTTTATTTAAAATCAAATATGGTACGTGATTTATATTGTTCCTGTTCTTTTGGGAACAATACACGGCATTGTAGATTCCCACCTTCGATCAATTGTTGATTGTTGATCGAAGATTCCCACTGATCTCTTTATCCCACGAGGGTTTATAAAACTAAGGCATAATGTTTCATGGTAAATTTGATTGAAAGTGTAATTCAGGGTTGCCATGACCCTGCCACGAAAAACAAATAACTGTAAAAATCCATGAAGTTATACATGGTATTTTTTTTGCAACGACCTGATCAATGACATCTATACATATAATATGTGAGGGAAATCACGATAGCAAATGCATCTCAAACAGAACGCTAACGATTCCTTGTTTCTGTTTTTTTTTTAATTAATGGTATATTACAGTAGTTCATTTGATTATAAATATCGCCTTAACTTCGGTGGAGCCTTAACCAACTTCTTTTATTCTTACAGTGAGCGAAATCGACCAGTACCTGTGGATGGTTGGCGGTTCTGCGGGTGCACTTGCCTTGACAGGCGTGGCGGCCGCTTCGGCTTTTTACCTCAGTACGAGACCGAAACCTGAGAAGCCTCTCGTCACACTTCATGAACAAAGCCTTCTTGAAACAGTAAGTACAAGATTAACAAATGTACCTAAGTACAAAGAACGATCCTAAATGGAATTTGTAACATGTGTGTCTTCGTTTAATACGTTACATTTATATCAATAAGATGAAAAAATATATTTAGTAGCCAAAATTAATAAAATTGCGTTGCTATAACAGATTTTCTTATAAATGTATTAATTTGTTAGTAGCATTTTTGTAAAGAAAATCAACAATACATAACCCCATTTCAGGAGCTTTTATAACTTAAAATAGTCTATTTTAAAATGAAAAATTTTGCTAGTTTTCTCATTATATTCTTTTGCCTAAGTATCTCTGATACCTCTAATAATGATTTCTGTACCTAATAGGAAACTCGCACAGCATTAACATTTTCGTGGTACTAATGTAATAAAATCAAAATATTGTCTATATTAAAGTCTAGACTGGCGATTAGCATATCTGTACACAGTTTCTTATCGTCATACTGTTTTGATAAAAACTATTACGTCAACTATTGGCTGCTTGTACTTCACACTTAAATGGGTTCCTGATTGATACTTAATTCATATCTCTACTTTTAAGACATCTTAAATGATTTAATGATAATGCATTAGGTTAGACCCACTGGTGTACTAAATTTATATAACACGTAGGTTAATGTGCCTATAAAACATATTTTAAGGTACATTGGTTTACTTGGCTATATACCATTTAGTAAGAAATTGATGTTTCTGACTACTGCGCCGCTGCTAGGTATTAATAGGTCAAGATAAAATCTCTGTGCTCCCTCACTACATCCAAATTATTTTTAAGCTGAATAGTAGAAACACAAAAACCAACAAAATTCATCAGCCGTGCCTATTTATAATAAGATAAAGCTTTCTTTCGATAATCATGATGGATAAAATGATTGAGTTGGTTCTACACTTTTTTAAATTTTAATATACGTCACTGAAGTTAGGGTCATAACTACTTCCATGATACTACATATTTTGAGGCAAATCATATACTACTACTGTACTAATATATATATAATATATTCACTAATACAAATATTCATATTGCAATTTTCTGGGCGCACGAAATCGCGATAAAATTACAAGATTGCTTCAACAGTAGTCCGATGTCTATAATGACCTCATAGACGGATGGCAACAACGCTGAGACGAATCATGCAAGGGGCGCCACCTTTTCCAGTTCTTACCATCTGTTTTCGAACGGTAATCGAGGACATGGCTTCAGGTGGATCACTGTGTCGCTCAATTTCTTACAGGTCATAGTAACTTTAAGAGCAAACTGTATTCATTTAAATTATTCGAGTCACCATTGTGTCAATGCTCAACACTTACCTCTAACTGTCAACAATCTGCTTATCATATCCTCTGGGCATGAAAGACTACATTAAAGGTATAATGAACAGAATATAATGCTGAATAGCTTGCAGGTGACATCATGAGGATTTTGTGTCAACTATGATGAATTTCCGTGCGTTTAAGCGATTCTGCCAAACATATTATAGAAATCAAATATAGCTCACTTAGGATCCATAATATTTTGTGGCCGTGGTGCTTCCCTGTTTAATAGGGTGTATGCCTATTTTACTTCATTTTGTCTTTCGCTTTGCAAAGGAGGGAAGTAGATTTAATGTATTACCAACTCCTCCAATTTTCTGATTAATTTCGTTGCGGGTTCCAAGACAGTTAAATTTTTTCCTGGGACGGCCCAAGTGTGTGTAAACGACACCATTGAACCACACCACTGGGGTGTCGCTTACAATTTTTATTTGTTAACGACACCACCGTTATGAAGTTTTGATATAGAAGTTATGAATTTATCGATATCAATTATTTTCATATGCGAGATCACGACCGTGACCATTTTAAGAAGGCTTTTCCAGGAGTTGCTTTTAAAATAGCAGATGAATTAAACCAAGATAAGGTGAAAAAAATCAATAGTTATAGTATAATATCGGATCAAGTTTCATAAATTAATTTAGTTGCTTTTTGTAGTAATGTAAATAATAATTATGTTTTACTAATCCCTTGTAAACTCGACCAATTTCAATATTATCATTAAAAATTAACACGAAAAGAATTGTTTTATTTTACTTTATACATCACTAGTCAGCAGTGGTGTCGTTAATAAAAAATAATTATAAACGACATCCTAGTGGTGTGGTTGAGTGGTGTCGTTTACAATACACGCAACCCGCTATTACTATAATATACATAATATGTATGCATATCACTCACTACTTACTTTTACTTCATAGGCATAGATAAATATGTTTCAACAATAATGTTGTTCGTAACAAATAAGCAGGCGCGTTTGTATGCAGATGTAATTCTCTAGATTTTTGTCATGCGGCATACAAGTAGTAAGTGCCAAGCAAAATTACACGCGCAATTTCCGATTAATTAACGGACCAAAAACAGTTTAGAAATCATGTTGTACCAAAAACATTTGTTTAAACTTTGTTCATCAGCCTTTGAAATCGAATAAAATTTAAACATTAGGCGTAGTACACGTATTTTTCTTTGTATATTTTCATATTTTTTTTACTATCCTAATGTTGATCTTCTTGACACGGTGGAAAACCCTTTCGGATCTCGGGCTCCTGGGGGACGCAGGAGCCAAGAGGATGTGATGCAATGCCCGATCGCATTTTTGCGGCCAGGCCATCCTATCGCCTACCGCAGCAGTTAATCTGCCACCAGAGGTCCCCTGGCAGCCTGCGGCCCCGTCTATGGCTGGTATCACCGCCGACGTCCTCTACGCTCGGGATCGGCCCTCTACCAATGCTGTTCAGCGCTCTCATTCTGGAGCATTACAGCTTCACAGAAAGAGACCACTGCGCCCCATTCCTCCTCACCCGCCAGCATGGTAGTAATAATTGCTGGGGGGGACAGGACTCGTTTGATTTGATCAATAGGCACTTCGCGTTCAGATGGCCACGCAGGACAGTCTTCCAGCATGTGCTGGGAGGAGTCTCAGTCGGCTGCGCAGGGCTAGAATTGTGCCGTCTTCTCGCCTCCAATCCGATTCAGGTACTTACCGAAGCCATGCCCAGTGAGTACCTGCGTCAGTTGGTAGGTGACGCGACCTCCCTTCCTACCTACCCAAGCTTCGAGGTTAGGCAAAACAGCACACTTCCGCGGTTGTTCCAGTCACGCGCGCTGCTGCTCCAGTGCCTGTCGGTGAGCGTTCCTCCTCATTTCGAGCTCGTCCTGGTTTTCCCCGCTCCCACCACGTCGGATCGCGCGTGTCTGCTCATAAACCCTCGCGTCTATATCCGCCAGGACATCAAAAGGCGGGAAACGTGCCAGGACCGTCGCCGCGTACGATCCGAATGGCCGCTACCCGCTGCACTTGAGTGAACCTAGCTCGGCAGCGGAAGGAGGCCAATAGAGGAGAAGGATAGTAGGGGTGCCAAACTCCGTTTCGCGGACCCTCTAGATTAGGCAACAGCCTTTGTAGGGAGCCCGCCAGCAATGCTCCTATACCGACGTTCTGCAAATACATTGTATAACTAAAGACTTCCAAAATGCAGTAGGTACATATATTTATATTATATCAGACATTATATATTGTTTTTTATGCTATAGCGACCAAGAAGATCACTTGATGGCCAGTGTCTACGCCATCCAACTCAAAATAATTTAGAAAGGAAATGCGCCATACAGTTTATTATAATTAATTTTAACAATAATTGTTATATCAATATCACATAATATGAAAACATGGCATATTTATGCCTTTAATAAAACAGAAGATAAGATAAGATAACTGTTGTTTTATATGATGAATTCAATAAGTACACGAATCAGCAGCAGGTCAACGATCCATTAACAATTAATATTGTTCTATCAGAACACAATCAAATAAGTGCGTATATTGCATAAAGAAAACGGTTTGAGGTAGTGCATGAATGTACAAACATAGTGATGAAAGGATATGTTCTAACTAAAAATTAATCAACTGCAACAACCACAATCGACGTGTGTCGGTAAAAAATTAATCGAATTTAATTATTGGTGTGAAATGATGACGATAGGGTATTCCTCTTTATTACGGTATCAAAGTTCAAGCTGTCTTATTACCAACTGCCCACGATCTAGAGTTGGCAGAGCGCATCTTTGAGCGATATTTTTAACTCATTGTACCACGGGCAGCCCTGCTCGCTGCTCTCCTGTCAGTTCCCGAAACTCTAGCGAAAGTGACGAGACACTTGCAACCTCCGCCAAAGAGTGTCAGCTAAGAAGATTAACCGGAGTTTTGCCATTCATACAGGGATACTTGAAAACTTTGAAAAGTGAAGTGAACTTAATGCAAATTAGTGGCGATTTATGAATTGGTATCAGTTATGATTGCCCAATTGAAAACAATTTAAAATTCAAATTAAACAGTGTACTTTACCTATTGTGTGTGATAACATTTAGTTATAACAATGTGTTTTGATTGGTGCGTTAGAGTTGCGCCGATTCGGTCACCGATTAATCTTAGCGAACAATCGGATTCCCTTAAAGTGAGTACTATACAATTTTATTGAGATTTGGTAAAAACACGTACTTTTTAAATAATTTGAAAGAACGTAGAATGAAACGGAATTAATTTAAACTAATAACTTTTCGTTAGAAGCTACTCTGATAATTAGTATTTTATGTATTATGGCAAATAATATTAATTCGGATCAACGATAACAGCGGCGATACGTGTGAATTCTCTAATTTGTGAAAATCATAGAGTATTGTAAAATTATTTTATAAAGGTCAAAACATTGTTAGTCGGTGCTCACGTCCGACAGTTGGCAGAGATTCGTAGCTATGCTGATACTGATTTGAAATAGAAAAAATAGAATTCTAGATGTCTCGATACATATCGGCAATTAGAATTTTAATTGCCTTGGGTCTTTCTGGTCAATATTCAAAAATGTCTAGCCTCCGTCGTTCTACCTCAAGATCTCGGAATATTCATGTCTAGTTCTTACTACGTTCTGTATTACACCTACAGTTACAGTTACA